TTTCAAAATATTCGTAAAATGATTCTTCAGTTGGTTAACGTCGCTGAGATGCTTTAGTATTTCCCTATTTTTATTTTTGCAGATGTTTACTTCATTCCATTTTTCCTTTGACGAACAATTTTCAAATATAAATTTCAAAAATGCTTTTTTTCAGATTTTATTGCGCAAGTAATATAATTCCTCAATTGTTTGTAGTAGTCCCAGTGATGGGTTTGTTTAGTGCATTTGAATTTTTTTTTGCCTTATCTCTTAGTTGTTGCATATATTTTATATTATCAGTTATTCAGGGAGAGTATTTATAATTTTATCTTTGTCGTACTTTTCTAATAGGTGCATGTACTTCGAATAAAAGTAAGATTTGTTCTGTGAAAAACTGCACTTTATCATCAATGTTATCGATTTCGAAGATTGATTGCCATGGAATTGCTTCCAAATCTTTATGGAGATGTTCTCGGGTTATATTTTCCAAGTCTCTGAATAAAAAAATTTGAAGGGTGCAGAGAAGGAGTCGCTTTTTATTATTCCATACGTCTGTAGATGATCTGATATTCCCCAATCATTTACCCCTGATTCAGAGATTGTAATATTGTTACTAACAAATATCATGTCTATCAATGATATTGAGTTTTTTGTTATTCTAGTTGGGTTGTTAATGATTTGTTTCAAGCGAAAAGTTTTACACAATGATAATAGTTGTGAAGAACGATTACAGTTTATATCGAGAATATTGATATTGAAATCTCCTAAACATATTATTTTATCGAACTCAGTGAACATGTTGGCCATAACGTCCTCGAAGCTATGAAAAAAAGAATCTATATTAGAGTGAGGCGGTCTGTAGATAAGTCCTATTGAAAATTTTTTCTTATTCACTTCAACTAACATACACATCTGTTCAATAAATTCCGAACATTCTCTGACAAGAATTTCAAATTTAATGTTACATTTTATATACATACCAATTCCCCCAGCATGTGTTCGTCTATCGAGTCTAATAAATTCATAGTTAGGAATTCTCACAACGTCGGTACCCACCCCAGAGCGGAGCCATGTTTCCATAATACCCAGGACATCATAATTTGAATTTTCCACCTGAGCAGAAAAACCATTGAAATCACTCAGAAGAGACCGAACATTTAAGTGGGCGAATTTCAGGCTCATCTAAACAGATACAGTTATTAGAAGAATAAACGTGAAATAAAAAAAAGGAGTGAAAAAAATATTTAGGACTGAAGAGAGAGTGTTAGGATGAAAGGGCAGAAGGACCAAGACAGAAAATCGGAATGTAGCAAATTTATAGTAGGAGAGAGGTAACAAGAGGCAAGTAGGAAGAAGAAAACGAAAAAAAAATTGTGTCAGGTATACTCAGACAGAATTACAAAATAAAAAATAAATGCAATTAAATTCAAGCACATAAGCCGCTGCATGTAACCACCTTGTGGAATATTCGATTACCTACATTTTGACATAAACTCAGAATGAGTGCATACTACTATTATCACAAATCAAAAATAACGTAAAGCATCAAGTAAAATTAGTAGTAAAAAACAAATGTAATCTTCAAAAAACAAACTAAAGACAATCTACTGAATAGTGTCTAAGAAACTTAATGAATCGGCGCGAACAGTGGCACCATTATACTTAACATAAATTGAGCCATTTGTGAACCAAACATTTTTCTTATCAAACTTTTTCACTGCTTTGTCCAAAATATCAAGTTTCAACCTAGTTACGTTCTCTTTTATGATTATCCCTGTATTCTTGAGATATTTTCTGTTCCTCACAACAGCTGTCCGTGTCTTATCGTTGAAAAACCGTACCAATACAGCTGAAGATCGTGGTTTACTGATGTTGATGTTTTTTGCGGGAACTCTGTAAATCTTCTCTATATCAGTTAGTTTAATATTTTTGAGATTAAGATTCTCATTTAAGATACGAATAATCTTTTTGGATAGATCCTCGCCTTTTTCTTCTTCAACCCCAAAAATTCTTATGTTGAGATTTCTGAAGAACTGTTCTTGTTTGTCGAGCAGTGTTTGCATTTCCAAATATTTAGTTTTCAAGAAACATACCTCATTTTTTAGCTCGAGGATTTCCTTTATCTGCATGTCCAGTCGTTTTTCCAGTTTTTCTTCGAATTTACTGGATAGCTTGTTCGCTATATCTTGCAAAAATTCTTCGTTAAAAATGCTGCGTATCTGTTCACCGATGGGTGACTTGATTTCATCCATATATTTTTTGGTAAGCGGCATTTCGATACTAGGTATGTTATTATTCGTTTTGACATAACAATAAAGTTGTTACTACAGTTTGGAATGTCGTTGAGAGTTTATTTTAAATAATTTGAAATCACACAGCGGGCTACACTGATACGAACCGCTGATTATTGGAGTCCTTGGTGGAATGTTGTCCTCTCTACTCTCGAATCTTGAAATCATACCCGCTTGCCGCATTAAGGTAGAAATCTTAGCTGCATCTGTGCGGCTAAGATTTATGCCTTAGTGCGGCAAGCCGGTATGATTTTAAAATTCGAGAGTAGAGAGGACATCATTCCACCAAGGACTCCAACAATCAGAACAACCATTTCGGCAGAGTGGTCTGGATGGAGTTCGAAGAGAAAATCTCGATATTTTATCAGCTTTTCCTCCTCTTTTCTGACGATATTCGTCTCGCCAGGAGCTGGAAAGTCCACGACAAATATCGTTTTGATCTGGTGGTCGAGAAGAAATACATCAGGCTTATTAGCTTGTATGAGCCTGAGGGTGCGGAACGAATAGTTCTAATAAATTCGGCACTTCTCGTTCAGGCCCTATTCGGGAGGGCGCGCCAGCATTATCAACCAATGACCACTTCCCACACCGTGGGGCAAGTGATCATTGGGTCTCAGAGACGCGTTATGTCGATGGATATAGGTTGAAACCGCATATGCTGTACATGCTGATAGCAAGTGCATTAGAGTCTCGGGCGCCTCGCGGCAGGCCCTGCACCTTGTGTCAGGAACCTCTATACCCATCACGCGACTGCGGTAGGCTAAGGTGTTGAAGACACCATCCTGGCAAGCTTTGATGAACCCCTCAGTTTCCGACTTCAGCCCACTCGATCTGAGAAAAGCGAACGTCAGGTGCTTTGATAAGTCAAGGTCTCCAATATTATTGAAGCAGACCCCATGCATTGGCTTATCCTTGTGTCTCCGCCGAAGTAAGGTGATCTCTGCGGCTTTTATCTGAGCTCTTTGCTGAAAGGGTTCCAACTCGGTGACAGAGTTATAGGTAGTTCAGAGTCGAAAACTATACCGAGTTCATCAGCTGCTCGGGCAGCTGCCCTAAGGAGAAATGCTTTAATTCCTGCTCTCTCGTGGTCACGGACCATGCAGAGAAGGGGATCCGAACTCCTGACGACTTTACAGGCTGTATCCAGTACCATTCTGTCATGTAAACACTCCAAACTCAAAAGTCCACGGCCCCCTGTTGTCGGGGGAAGTACAACCGTGGGACGGACGATTTGGGATGCAAACTCCTATAGAGATGCATCATTTTTTGGGTATTTACGTGGAGTTGATACACCTCCTCCCGAGTCCACTTCACTACTCCAAACGAGTAAAGTAAGATTGGAACGGCAAGCATATTTGTTGCAGCAACTTTGTTCTTCCCCGACAGTTCCGATGACCAGATCTGTCGAAGTTTGTGCTGATACTTGCCGCGGAGAGAGTTTTTCACTGCAGTTACCTCTTGTGAGTGGCGTTGTTCCACCCCGAGGTAAGTATACGTCTCTCCGGCATCCAGATGGTGTAGGATGCTTCCATCTACGAGCTCCACATCCTCTCCGTAGTGTCCGCATCGTCCTCTTTTGAGATGAACCATTGCACATTTGTCTATCCCGAATTTCATACCGATAGCATGCGTGATAAGGTATTATTATTATTATGATCAATTATTGTTAAACCCACGGGGAAAAACGTAACAATATCATGCATGAATATTCGGGTATGCGGCGGAAGCTCTGTTCGAAGTGGGTGCTACCTGAGCTCAGAACCGACCAGAAACAACAACGAATTGATGATTCCGAGCAGTGTTAGGAACTGTTGGATCATGAAAAAATCCTAATTCATGCGTAGATATGTGACAATGAATAAAATATGGCTCCATCATTTCACTCCAGAATAAAAATGATCGTCATTTGAGTGGACTGCACGTGGTCAACTGACTCCAAAGCATGCAAAAGCGTATCAGTCGGCTGGCAAGGTTATGGTGTCAATATTCTGGGATGCGCATGGCATAATATTCATTGACAAGGAATATAATGATACTGACAAGGAAAAATAATGTACTGTTTCATCAAAATAATGCACCGTATCGCAAATCAATGAATGGGCTTCGAATAGCTTACGCATCCACCGTTTTCTTCAGATTTGCCCCTCAGCGACTTTTTCCTGTTTTCAAACCTTGAGAGAATACTCGCTGAGAAAATGTTTAGCGCCAATGAAGGGAGAAATTTTCTTATTAGTCAGTGGGCTATGCTTGAAGACTGGCAGTAAACAAATCTAAAGAATTGAACTTTGAACGTTCAAGCCAGTCCATTCAACCTACTGTGTAGGTATATTCGAGACTGGCTTGAATGTTTGAAGATCATTTCTTTAGATTTTTTTGTGAAATATTTTGGTTCAATTTTATTCTGTATACGATTCATTTACGTTAAAAATGTTTTTCTCTCACACATCAGAAACTTTTTGTAGACTATGATAACCAATTTAGTAGCTGTCTCAATCCTCTTCTAGTTGCAAAGGTACGAATTATCATCTTTGCTGTTTCATATTTTGGAAGGTCTCATGATTCCCCTTCCTCTTTGAAAAAAAAAATTGTGCGACGACAGCTGCCCTGTCTGCGGTAACTGACGTCACACTATTAGCTTCTTTATCAGAACGTGTTGAAAAAATTTTGTCCGATTTTTAATATCTGGCCCCATTCAAAGGTTGAGAGTGTATATAGTCATGATTCTTATAGGGTAATCCAATATTGAAAATACATACCGGACAAATTCGTGGACATCCGCTCAAAACAGAAAATGGAAAATCATATTATGCGTTTCAAGAAATTCCTTATGCCGCTCCTCCCGTTGGAGAACTCAGATTTCAGGTGAGAAGTAACGTAGGAAGTTTTAGTTTTCACCACTTGATTATTTTAGGAAGCCATTCAACCAGAACCCTGGAGTGGTATTTTAGATACGACCAAAAATACAAAAGTTTGTTATCAGAAAAAACCGCCATTTGATGACCAAACACCAGATCCGAGAGAAAATGAAGACTGTCTATATTTGAACGTTTTCACTTCCAAAGTAAGTGCTATATTTGAATAAAGAGGGTTTGTGGTGAGAAATTTTTGACCCATTGTACTATATTATCTTGTAGAGGAGAGGTGGCATGAAACGGACATTTTTAGGGTAAATATGTATATAAGCAATATCAATAAATTTTAGATTTATTGAACCTGATATTATAATTGATACAACATTTGGAAAAGGATTTTGAGTTTAAAAAATATAAAAAAATTAGTTGTTATTAAAAAAATTTGAAAAATATGAACCATTGTATTTGTCCCTTTCAACACATCTCACTGGATTGAAAGGGGTTCATTTGGGGCTGAAAGGGACACATACAAAAACATTTAAAATAGGTGTGATAAATCAATATTAAATGAAAAAAAAGCTTTCACTCTTGCAGTCCCGGCATTATCAAGAGGTGGAGGTAGTTTGAGTACTATATCCCCTTTTTTGACATCAGCCACGTCATCAATCTAAGGAAAAACAAAGTGGTAGGAACTGTCATTAACTTTTTTTAAAAACTTAACACTGACTTCGCCATCTTCCATGACTTCATTTATTTGCCCAATAAAATGTCTGATTATTTTCTTTTTCGCAAATTTAACGACGATAAAATCATCCACGTTGAAAGAATCATTTTCGGCGAACCTCGTTTCTTCCTCAATCCAAAGAATTGTCACTTTCGGTTATGGTTGTCGGTTTAATTGAAAAAAGATAATAATGATGTAGATAATGTACTAAAAACTAAAAAATAATTCGGAAGGTCCTAGGTAGCAGTGATCACAGCACTTTTCTCAGCAATCAACGATATTATTCAGATACAAAAATAAAAAAATCGCTGGGCGTAACGTAACCTGAGTAAATATGTAAATACTACACCCAACGATTTTATTATTTTTTTATCTGATCAATATCGTAGATTGCTGGGGAGAGTGGTGTGATGACTGTTACCTAAGACTATGCTTTCAATACATCTACAACATTATTATCTTTGTTTTCAATAAAATCGTTCAACATTATAATTTTTATTTACTTATTTCATTTTAAAGTTTTTAGTTTTTAATTCCGTTACTCCATTCTCCTCATTCTGTTAAATTCCTGTCATTTGATACCCATATTGAGGTAGTTGTAAAAAAATATGTAATCCGCCATTTTGTAGCTGCGGTCATCTTGAATTTGCATCTTTTAGAAAGTGTACTACTATTCTATTAGTCAAGCCCTGTCATTCAATACCCATATTGAGGTAATTGTGAAAAATATGTAATCCGCCATTTTGTAGCTGCAGCCATCTTTAAATAACAATGATACGGAATTCATTAAATTGTATCGTCATAAAAAATGAACGTGTGTACCAAATATCAGATAAACCTGTCAAGAGGAAGGAGTCAGACATCAATCAATAAATTTGACCTCAAACAAACAAACAGTGCAAGGTAAATAAAACCATTTGAAAATACCTTGGTGAGGATGACGATCTCAATATATGTATGAATATAGTCAGTTCATTCTCATCTTTTCACGTTCTTCTCGAGGATCTTTTTTTATGAGAAAATGTAGATTAATCAATCATATATTCACTATAATATTCAAATGGAGAGTGTCTATTGAAAACAATAATTTTTGTCTGAAGATATTGATTCAGACAAAATTCACTTATTTTTCAGTGCATACATCGAACATTCATAATAGAAACAGAAACTTAATGGTATTGTCATGGATATATGAAAACTATAAAGATTCTAATTATATTTATATTGAATATAACAACTGTAATTAATCTGACCTTTTAAAAATATTGGAGTCGATGGTATTCCTTCTATATCGCTGTTTTCAGACATTTTGATAATATAGGTAGATAATATGAAAACTGATTTTGACAAATAAAGCAATTAGTTACTCAGGTTAGAATCTAAGGAACAGGATTCTTGATTGAAAAATTATGGGTTTCTATTGGTTGATATTCTGTATCGTTATGAAAAATCTGTATCATAATGGATATCATTATGAAACGGATTATGGTCATATAAGTGTATTGTTAGAGTACGGGTGTAGAAAAACATAGTTAATTCATTGGATTGCAGTACAAAATAAAATATTTTTGCTGGGACCAAAGAACTTATCAGTTGATTCATATTTTTTGGTGAATCCAAATTGTTCAGTTTGACCACCACTAATGATGATTTGTACAAGTTGAAATCAGAAAGGAAATGCAGAAATAAAGCAGGAAATTAGGGCCTTACAAGATCATTTCTCTGATGAAATTGAAAATTTGATTCGTAAGAACTCCGAACTTGTAGTCGAAAACACACGTTTACGAGACAAAATTCAGAGCATTGAGCGTCGGCAAAAAAAAATACAATTTTATAGTTTATGGGATCCCTGAATCCGATAATTCTTCTCATGCAGATATAATAGACCTATGCACGAAAACATTGAACATAAATTGTTCACTGTCTGATTTTAGAGATATCTATCGAGTTGGTAAGAAATCTAAAAATAAAATTCGACCGGTAGCTATTGAAACCTTGAATTATCAAATGAAGTTGGATATTTTAGCCAAATCGAAATTATATAGAAATAATTTGAAAACTCGTAACATACACATTGCTGTGGATCTTATTTCTGAGGATTATAATGCTAATAAATTTCTATTAAAATACTTAAGACAAGTGAAAGTCTATGATACAACATCTAAAGTCGATTTGAGAAGAAGAGTACTCACTACGGATGGAATAGAATACACATCTGAAGAATTGCAACGTACTGCGGAAGACGGAAAAATTCTTAAAACTTTGTCTCGCAAATTCGAATTCAGAGTTAGTCAACGAAGAAAATAAAAAAAGAAAAATCCAGTCTTCTCCTGGAAATTCGGATCACCCCCGGAAAATAACCACTCGGTCGTTATCCCAAAACTACATTATCGTTCACGTTAATTTCAAATGGTCTGATTGTGGCACAATGGACTTACATCATGTTTCAGATCATTTTCTAGTTTATTGTTATGCTCCTGAAATCATTGTGAAATACAACCCTGTTACGCGAGCTTTCCGAAATTAAAAAAAAAAACCAACTATGTTCATTTTACAAATGAGTTAGAATCAATCTGCTGGGATCCCTCGTATCTTTCAGAAAACATTGATGAAAAAATCAGTTTTTTTGTTTTCAAATCCACACGTTGTTCAATATTCATGCACCATATGTCACAAAAATTTTTACCAAACCTTATACACCATGGATTACAGAAAATGTGAAGTTTATGATGAAAATAAGAGATAAAGCCAGAAATAAATTCGAAAAAACCGGTAAAGCTGAAGATAGGAATTATGACAAAACTCTTAGAAACTTTACTAAATCTTCTATTGAGCGAGAAAAAAAGGCTTATCTAGAATACATCGCCTCTAATAATATTCACAATAACTCTAGAGATCTATGGTTAAAACTAAAAAAACTCAATATTCACAATAGAAAACCTATATTGAATCTTTCCTATCATTTATGTGATCCTAACAACATGAATGATTTTTTATTGCTTCGCAACAACGGTGTAATAAGGTTGACCCAAATCTGGAACAATTTTACAGTAATAATGTGAATGATTCTATCACATTACTTCTTGAATTGGTGTTGATCCCCGAAAATGAATTCTTAACCTTCATGTCACAAATAAAAAGTAGATCAAGATGATCTCGATAATTTTCTCTTAAATCTCTGTTGTCCATCTATAATATCCATTATTCTACATATTATAATCTTTTGCTTGGAGAAGAAAGTTTTCCCAAGTATGTGGAAGCAGTCTATCGTGGTACCAATACACAAAATTAAAGAACCTAAGGAATTCAAAGACTTGCGTCCTATAGGTCTTCTTCCATTTCTTTCTGAAATTTTGGAAAAAGCTATTGCTCAACAGTTGAGAAACCACCTTCACAACAACAATGTACTTCCAATTGTGCAATCTGGTTTCAGACCAAACTATAGCTGTGCTACAGCTTTATTGAACATATTAGATGATATCGTCGTAGCATCGGATAAAGACGAAATCACTGTTCTACTATTGATCGACTTCAGCAAATCTTTTGATACATTCAATCATCAACTACTTCGATCTATATTACATTATAATGGACTTTGTCAAAGCACTTTGAAATTTTTCGATTCATATCTTTCACATAGACAACAAACTGTTAGAGTGGAGAACCACATATCAGATTTCAAGAATACTTTTTCAGGTGTCCCACAGGGTTCACTCCTTGGACCTATCCTCTACATAATTTACACCTTCCATTTGACAACCTGTTTGAAAAAACTCAAATATCATATGTCTTTTATTTTCTTTTTTTCCTGGAAGGTGGTTGAAAGCCATTGCCCCGGCATATCTTAGTTTTTTTTTGTATTCCGTAAGATTACATTTTCTAACATGAATTTCATGGTTTTGTCTAGTGGGTTAATTGTGTATTTCGTGAGATCTACTGAACGATGACAAATTTGAGTGGATGTAAGATAGTAATTTATAAAGATTGATACCAAATACCGTCAGAATTTTATTTAAAGAAAAGACTTCTTTGCATGATTCGTTGTATTTTAGATCGAAGATTAATCATACAAATCTTTTTTGGATAACAAAAAATCTTCCTACTTCCACTGATTGTCCCCAAACTGTTATGTTCATACACAGAGTTGAATATACAAGAGAGTAATACAAATCTGGCAAATGCCCTTTATTAAAGTTATTTTCAAGAGTCGCAAATGCAGAGAACGTTTTGCCGAGTTTTTTGCAGAAGAATTCGATGTGTTTTTTGAAGTCAAGTTTGCTGTTTAGTTGTGTTCCTAAAAATTTTGTAAGGTATGAGGTTGTCAAGGAAACCGAATCTATATTTAGATACAAGTCATTAAACTAACCCAGCTTGCTAATGAATTCAACGCAAACTGACGTCGACATACATGAATGCCGTTTCATGTTCAATGAAACGGAGCAAGTCATTAACATAAAGAAGGAAAAGAAAAGGTCCCAGTATTCCTCCCTGCGGCGTACCAGTTTCGGTCTGCCGTTCTTCTAAGCACGTCTTATTTATATTTACTTTAATTATTATTTTTTCCATCATTGATGAATGAATCCAACTGTTGATGGGTCCTCGTATGCCTATTTTACATAATTTTTCATACAAGAATTGAGGATTCATGGTTTCGAATGCTCGGGTAAGGTCAAAAAATACCACAATTATGTACTCAGTCATTTAAAGTTTCATGAATATATTTATCACTTCGGCCAAGACAGTCTCGATGGTAAAATTTCTACGAAATCCATGCTGTGGGAAGATGATATTATTTTTTTCGAAAAAAAACATAATTTGTTCATATACGGCTTTTTCTATCACTTTGGAGAATGAGTTCAAGACGCAAATTCCTCTGTAATTTCCTACATTAGTCTTCTCTGCTTTTTTGTAGACTGGAACAACTTTTGATACTTTTTGTGTAGTTGGGAATTTTCCTTCACATATCGATGCATTCATAATGTTGGCTAAATGTTTGAATATTCTAGAGCTACTTTCAATCTGGTTTCATAGGTATTTCATCAATACCGTTGGAATTTTATTTATGAAATCGTATAGGATTTTTTCAACGTCAATATGAGATATCGGCGAAAAGTACATAGAGTGTGAGAGTGAGGAATCCGTGGTTGTACATGAGTTTTTTGGTAGGTTCATGCCATCGATTTGGTTTTTCAAAGTATTGAAAACTGGTCTGCAAAAATATCTGATATTTGTTTATCATTTGAGGTTATTTCATCGTTGATTATCAGGAAGAATTTTTCATGCTTTCCTTGATTTCTACCGAGTGTGATGTTTACCATTTTCCTCAGAGTTTTAGTTTTGTTATTAGAATTCATAATCTTTTGTTCTGTGGGTATTTGCTTTTCTTTTTGAATTTTCCTATCGACTATGTTTTTGTTCTGTTTATATGTTTCACTTAAGATATTGCTCTCAGGAAAGCAATTTTTTAACCAATTGAGTGATTTTAAGTTCTCTAGCTCAAATGATAATTCTTCAGAGAGCGGTATTTTTGGGACCTTGAGGCGGTTTCGTTTAGGCCTAACTTTTTGCTTCATGAAACAAATCTCAAAATACCAATTATTAAAGTGGTCGATAAATTCTTTCATCATGTTATCTATGCTTGATAATTCTATCGCGTCAAGGATTCCAAATCTAGTTTTGAATTCCTCAGTAGTAGAAGATAATATTGATCAACTAATTAATTTTGAATATCACAATAGATAATGAAGTTTGGAACAATCATGAAACACAAATCAATTCAAAGAACTAAGATTTAAAAAAAAAGGAAAGAAGAAAAAAAATCACATCAAAGGTGCTGCTTCGTTCTCTCCTGTTCATAAAAGAGGACATATGCTTCATCGCTCACAAGTGATTTTGGCGAAATTGGGAACACGTGCGAATCGTTGTATTCATGCCACGTGCCACTATATGGGTGTCTGCAATAGGCTGTGTAATGTCCGTTGTAAGTAGTCCCACTGTGATTTGAAAGTGCATATAGAGTATACCGACAAGGAGTCACATTGTCTGCTGCATAACTACTCATATCTAATCCATCTGAAGAACAGTCAATGGAAACATTCAATTTGCCTCTGAATCTTTCCGTTGAAGGAAATCTTTTCAAATGACTCACTAAAATACGGGGAAACTTATAGATTTATAAGGACTTTGTACGTTTTCTCCTTTGCTTGCAACTCGAACACATTGGTTTTTCATCTCCATCCAGAGTTTCCTCTCTTGTGTAAAAGAATCCAAGCAATGTGACAAACTCAATTGGACAATTCTTTGTGATATGGGAAGAGACAAATCCCAGAAAGGATCAATGGTTACTGATGAGTGTCCACAGTGTGTGCACTTCATAGTAGATTTTAATTGACCAACGAAATGGTCTACAATCTTGGAGTTGTTCATATTCAAATATCTCTGTCAGGACGACTATTGTGCTTTTCCGTTGTCGCTCAATTTTTCGTCAATCTCAGTTTAGATCGGTTCAGGTTCCTTAGTAATTCTGTTGAGGTGCTCATGTGAACTTTCTAAAAGATTTCGAAGGAATTCGTAGGTGTCTTTTGATTGGCAGAACCCAAGAATCGAGGGGCAAATCGTTGAATCTGATTTTTGAAGTAGACTGTGTTAATCACTCTATCAGATGAATCTTCTGACCACAATTCCTTGATAACTTCTGTGAACGCTTTGATTAAAACACCTTTCATACTAGAAATACTAGTATTTATATATTCCATGTGTGTATCCTCTTTTTGGTATTCCAGCAACCATCTCGTGTTTGATAAACACTGGATTATACTGTTCATGAAACAGGTGTTTCCAAGATTTTTTAACCCATTGAACCCAAGAGGTTTGACTGAAGAATGTATCACCGATCTATTGTTGTAACTACGTTTGCCACTACTATCTTCTTCTGAGTAAACACGGATACGATGATTCACCATTTCATTGGACTGGTAGGATAAGGAGTTCGAAGCAAAACTGCTCAAAACTGAATTAGATATTAGTTCTTTTGGGGATTGTGAGGGCTCAGTCAGAGAATCAAACTCAACCCCATTTAGAGTTCCCACTTCCTTTTCTGTCAAAGCTTGACCGTTTTGCTGCGAGTCTTCCACCAAACTGCACAACTCCAGTTCTTGCACTGTTGGTACATGCCGAAATATTTTGTTCATGGAAAACATTGGTAATTCACTTGGGGTTTTTGATTGAGCAATTGTACGCAAACATGAAGCTGCATTTTCTCTTTGAATCAGAATGCTAATTTTTTGAATCAAGAAAAAGGTAGCTCTTGGGTCATTCGTCTCTTTGGATATTCTAATGCCGATTTCACGAACGAACTCCAATGCTAGGGGGGCTAAAGTACCAAATGTTTCGATTCCTATTGCATAAAAAATTGAATTATCTCCCAAATAATTGTATTTCCGTGTTTATCAGGATGTGGAGTGTACTCCAGATTACTAAGCCTAAGGATTGAGTGGGGAATGGGAAGAAATACCAGCGTGGTCCAAATAGAACTGGCTGTGTGATAATGTAGTCCAGCCCGCTTCCAATCATTTTTCCATTGGATTTTTTAATAATAATAAAATATCTGCCAAAAAAATATTGAGGTGAATGGGCGGAGTGCCAGCAAAGCTGTTTTTAAACTCAACCTACATTTTCAAAAAAGTATTATTATTCGATCACCAATTCTTTTCCATAAACGAATGAACCACGGTCAGCCTGAGAAAAATGAACTTCTCATGCTCTTTGAGTATTTTTTTGAGTTTCTCAAATTAAGGATTTGAATTCATTGGGTAGGAAATTGTAGAATTTAGCTGCGTAGTATAAGAAGCTACGAGTAAAAACAGAAGACCTATGTTCAGGAATCACCAGCACTGACCTGTTTCTAGTGGAAAAGCTGTTAATATTTGAGAAAAAATTCATTTTTTTCATTAAATATTGTGGCATTCCGGCTAACGTGTTTTGTAAAGCGTAGTTCAGAATCGAACCACAGGCCTCAGTTTATTGCTTCAGTTACAGCAATATCCGCAATCTTTTCTGTCTGCTGCCGATAGTTGGTTCCTTTTGTCTTTAGACCCACATGAGAAGACCATGCCCTCGAATTGCTCGTACAGAATAAACAATGTGGCATGAGCTGTGTAGCACGTAACGCCGTCCAATTGAAGTCACATGTCATTAGTGTCCAGACCAACCAATTCAGGATACTACAATAGTTAAAGAGATTTTTTGTAAAACATTTCACAAAACATCTGGCTGTGAAATAGATTCATTTGCGTTCCCGCTTATTTTAAAGTGGGACACGTGTATCGGCTTTGGAAATTCACAAAGACTCATTGAAAACGCTTTTCAGAATGTTAGTGAAGAAGGTTTTCATCACGATATCTTATCCAACAGATAGAACTAATCCCAATTATATCTTCATAGTTATTGTGATGCTCTGTTTGGAACCTTTGGTGTAGTAACGAATATTACTGGAAATTTTTCCAAAACACCAAACCGTTATTTTAACACCTCGACCCGTATTTCGATCCCCAAGTGATCATCTTCAAGAGGAAATTCAAACTTTGATGAGTTTGATCTTCCTCCACGTGTCGAGGTGTTGAAATAACGGTTTGCTGTTGGGAAAAAACTCCAGTAATATTCATAATAGTCGTTTTATATGTAATTAATTTTGAACTTATTCAGTTATTTTCCGTTACAGCTACCTTTCGAAGAAACTTCCAGTCTACTTCCAGTTATGGTCTATATCTATGGTGGAACCGGACAAAGTGGCGAACCTACCGAATATAATTTTGATTTGTTCCTGGATCAAGATATCGTTGTTGTTACTTTCACTTTTCGTTTAGGAGCTCTTGGTATGTAATTTTTCGTAACTGTTAACAGTGCCACTTTAATGAAATGAATAAAAACAATTTCGTCTTATTTCCACTAGTTATTTCATTTGTACGACCGGTTTCAAGTTTTACCCCATCGTTAAGTATGAAATTGAGATGTGAATTCTGAAAAATAGTTTATATAGGGAGTTTTTAGGAGAGCTAGAAGGCGAGGCAGTTGAATAAACAAGGTAACTATAAAATTCAACACTGAAGATTATAGGGGTTATCAAACTTATGAATTCAAGAGTGGAGACCTACATAAGTCAAGTCGAATTACTCGTTTAGGGGTATATATTTCGAGTTTTTATTTGATTTATTAATTTCCATGGCTTCCAAACTTTCTTTCCTTCATTACAAACGTGTAGGATTTTGGGGTTATTTTTACCTATCTTGTGATTTGTTTCTTATATCTGTTCATACATTGTAGATTTTTTTCCAAATAGACGTGTTCACGAAGCCTTACGTCAAAATTTCAACCGGATTGGCCTGTATACAGGGTTTTCTTTAAACACATGCTAATATTTAAGGAGGTAATTCATAGACCCATTTTAAGGAAAAAACGTCCTATGGACGTATGTCCTAAACGCCTTAACTTTTGAGGTACAGGGTGGCAAAGTTTTCAAAAATAATCAGTTTTTTAATAATAACTGAGATAATTTTGTAGACATCTTTGGCATATTTGGTACATATGTTCCATGCCTCAAGACGCATTTTCTGATGTACAATTTTCTTAATTTTCTCTGCCAGTGGCGTATGTACGAGTTTTGAAATGTATATTTTTGGCGAAAAAATACTACACCATTGCTTTATCTTGAATTAAAAATTATTTTTAAAATCTTCATACATTTTTGAGCACATTTGATTTGTTGGGTTTTCTTTGTCCGACGCATGGTTTTCGCTCAAAAAATTAAAAATCGCTTTACTAAAGGATAAATTCCTTAAAAATCTGATGCGGTATCGTGCATCGACTGAAAGCAAACTAAAGAAATACCAGGAGATCAAATTTTCTCAAAAATAAATGATGATTTTAAAAATGATTTTATTTTGGATAGAAAGCATTGGCGTAGTACTTTTTCCCCAAAAATATTCAATGCGAAACCCGTAGGGATGCCACTGTTTGAAAAAATACAAATGTGTGTACATCAGAATATGCGCCTTGAGGCATGGAACATATGTACCAAATATGCCAAAGATGTCTACAAAATTATCTCAGTTATTATTAAAAAACTGATTATTTTTGAAAACTTTGCCACCCTGTATCTCAAAAGTTAAGGCTTTTAGGACATACGCCCATAGGAAGTTTTTTTCTTAAAATGGGTCTAAGAATTACCTCCTTAAATATCAGCATGTGTTTAAGGAACACCCGGTATACTACAGAGCATTCGCCCTAAATGAGCAATTCGATTTATGTAGGTCTCCACTCTTGAATTTATAAGTTTGACAACCCCTATAATCTTCAGTGTTGAATTTTATAGTTGGCACTCTTGTTCATTCAACTACCTCGTCTTCTTGCTTATCTTATCTTGCACTATTGTATAAACAAGTTTTCAGATTTCAAATGTTACTTTCATACTTGATAATGGGATAAAAACCAAAACTGGTCGTAAAAATAAAATAACTAGTGGAAATTAGACAAAAGTGTTTATATTCATTTCATTAAAGTTATCATGAATTTCCACAAAATAAACAAGTCAACAATCACACAGATGTTAACAATGTAGTTCATGTGGCTGTGATAACTACGTCAAGTATTTTGCATTTTCTTGATAAGAAATATCGGACTTTTAGAATGTTTTTCACTGGTCTTCAAGGGTTCAGTATAACGAATGACAATAAATCATTTGATGACACAAGCATCTGGAACTTGCATTTCAGACGAATTTGAAAAAACCATTACGTAGTGAAGGAAATAGTTAATGTGCAACTTGTTCTTGAAGATTACTTCATATACACAATTGAATTCAAGATTAGATAAAATATTACCGTTTTTCGGATATGGAAAGACAAATATTTGAAGACACTGGTTTTATTTTCCAAAATAATTAATTAGATTGAAATTGTACAAGAAGTTAATGATTTCTCCTCAATGCACTCCTCCAAAATGAGTTACCGGTGCTCAAATTGGTGGTAGCTCAAATTGAATTTACCCAAATATTTTTTAATGCCGTTCACCTGGCTGGAATGTCGAGATAAAGTTAACAATCCATAACCACATTTCATTCAAATTAGCGATTAATGCCCATTTCTCGCGGGTAGAATACTATACTTTTTCTATGAGTTGTATCAGTAATATGTTAATTCATTTCTGAAGAATATTCTAAAAGAGAGTAATATCAATGTGTTCCAAAACAAAAAATATTTTATGTTATAGGTATCATGAAAAAAATTAGGTGTGGGGAAATATAAGAAACTGAAGTCGATGTGAATTCAATCTACGAACATTACGATTTGATTTATAGCCATTCTTTAAGTATGTACATACGGATGCCTATTCGGATGTGATTGGTTAGTAACTCGTCTACAGCCAGGGAGGAAGGGGGGCAGAGACAGATACTCAGCTTTGTTCGAGAAAAAATTGTTTTTTAATCATCGACTTCGTGTTGATGTAGACACTACCTTGCACTAACGAGAGACCACATAGCCAGAAACCGGTCTGGAAGTGTGCCTGACACCTGACAGTGTCGTGGTATAAGCCAGGGAAGTAGTTATTTCCTGATTGGTGTCAGTCTATGAATCTACTGTGTAGGCAAGGAAGATTGGCCNGTATGGCATAAAACTAATTGAGTTTTTAACCACTCTCATTTTTTGTTATAATGACTAATATTCAATAAATAATAATTTTTTCACTGTATTCCAAATTTCTCTAGAGATACACTTTCCGGTTTTATGTTTTCATTCTTGTTTTTGATTAATGATGAATTTGCTAATCTGTGATTGCCTTGAAGATAGGGAATTATGTATCGTGTCAACTGTGATTATTCCGAAATTGTGGTTTACTGATTCACCCAATAATAAATGGTCACATTATGGCCGTATTTCCCAATTGCCATAGAATAACGTCTTTTGCCTGGTGTGAAAGATTTTATTTCTAATTTGTACATTTTTTGTATTCTACTTAGGTTTACTTACAACGAAAGATGGTGTATTTCCAGCCAATATATCCTTGAAAGATCAAAATTTGGCACTGAAATGGATTCAGAGAAATATTATTTATTTTGGAGGTGATCCCTCAAAAGTTACTTTAGTTGGACACAGTTCAGGAGCTGTTTCCGTAGGATTCCATGTCATCAGTGAAAAATCCAAAGGTGAGAACTAAAATCTGTATTTATTAAACACTCTCAATCTGATAGATGATACTGAGTATTATGTACCACCATTCGCGAAATGAATAAAAAGGTACTCATTTGTGAATTTTACTAATTTGGATTTCCGTTGTCTGATATGATTCTAATATGAATAGAAATGTCTGAAAAAACAAATGAGATCGAAATGAATAGCTGAATATATCAATAATTATAATATCTCTCATCCCCAAAAGCGGAGATTTATCGATTTCTAAGAATTACAGACCGATAACATGCTTGATTTCGTGTTATAAGTTGTCCACAAGCTACACACGAATACTCACCGCTGTTGACCGAGTGTTCGAACGGATATATGAGCAGAGAGTGTCGAAGAGAGGAGGCACTGGATGTGAAGAAAACCTGCTCATCGATACATGTATAACACAGGATTCAATACAATATAAGTGTAACCTCTCTATGGCCTGGATCGATTACCGTAAGACATTTGATACAATATCGCATGAGCTCATCTTGCATTTGCTCAGCTGCCTTGCGGTACCCGACAAAATAGTGAGGTCCATTGAACAACTGATACCACTTTGGCGAACTGGCTTCACTATGACATCTGGTCAAGCAAGACTCCAAACAGGGTGGGTTTCAGAAGGGGTGTATTTCAGGGCGATTCTCTGAGTCCCCTTCTCTTCTGCATCTCACGTTTGCCATTATCCGCTCAGAAATACTCAAGGTATGACTGTGGCATCCATTTGTTTTATATGGATTATCTTAAACTTTATGCTTCTGGAGAGAAGGATCTCCATCAGTCCTTGAGGGTGGTGGAAGAGTACACGCATGCTATCGGTATGAAATTCGGTATAGACAAATGTACAATAGTCCATTTCGAAAGAGGATGATGCGGGGACTACGCAGAGGATGTGCAGCTTGTAGATGGAAGTATCCTACATCATTTGGGTGCCAAAGAGACGTATACTTACTTACCTCAGTGTGAAACAACGCCACTCTGGTCATCGGAACTGACGGGAAAGAACAAAATTGCTGCAACAAATATGCTTGCCGTTCCAATCTTACTCTACTCGTTTGGAGTAGTGAAGTGGACTCGTGAGGAACTGTATCGACTCGACGTAAAGACCCAAAAAAATCTATAGGACTTTGCATCCCAACTCGTCTGTTCCACGGTTGTACTTCCTCCGACAACAGGGATGCCGTGGACTTTTGAGTTTGGAGTATTTATTTGACAAAATGGTACTGGATATAGCCTGTGAAGTCGTCAGGAGTTTGGATCCCCTTCTCTGCATGGTCCGTGACCATGAGAGAGCAGGAATTGGAGCATTTCTCCTTATGGCAGCTGCCTGAGGAGCTGATGAACTAGGTTTAGTTTTCGACACTGAACGAGGAGACCACAACTCTGTCACCAAGTTGAAACCCGTTCAGCAAGAAACTGAGGTAGAAGTCGCAGAGATCACCTCACTTCTGCGAAAACACAAGGATGAGCATGGGGTCTTCTTCAATAACATTGAAGACCATGGCTTATCAAAGCACCAGACCAAAGCGATATTTGTCGTGGAGTTTTCAGCTCCTGGCGAGACGAATATCGTTAGAAAAGAGGAGGAAAAACGGATAAAATATCGAGATTTTCTCTTCGAACTCCGCAGACTCTATCCAGANTATATATAGCTGTTCTGTTTGAAATTTACAAGTTGATGTGTGTTACATGTAGATGTGGCAACAATGTGGCGATGAAAATATTTTCATACGATAGATCACAGGCATCTTTATCGATTACAAGAATTTGAACCTCTCATCTTTTTTTGTTGTCTAGATACGTCTAATAGACCATCGAATATGGAATACCCTCTATAAGTTAAAAATAGAACAGTTGAACAAAAAAATTGAATATTAGGAGATTTCAAGCCAAATTACTTCACAATGTTTCGATTGTTAGTATCCACAATCGTCTTCGGGTGATGACTGGACTAATTCCCGCACTTTCGAGTACTTGTACTAATCTATTCTTTTCGCGTCACAGGTTTAGCTGGAGATAACTGTTTGGCGGCAGTTGGCCATTTTTCGCATGATTATGGGTTTCAATACACTGCGTATCAATACGCTAGCTTGACTAAATACATTGTTGGACAATATGTGTTCGACTCCGTTGACTTTTCTCCTGAACCAGTGTTCCTCCCTGTGTATGATCTCAGCTTCGGACCACTCGATGTTATGTTGATGGGTCCATACATGCTCTGCTCTTCCTGATTCGCTGGTTTCCTGCTAACGGATATTGTTTCTGGATCTGAAGCAGGTTCTGATGTATTCGAAACCAATTCTTCTTATCCTCTCCGATAATCCTCTGATGTAGGGAAGTGCAAGCACTGGTTGTGACAGCTTCTCTTCCTTGTGAGGCTCTTGTCTTTCCGCCAAAGTCTGTTCCACCATCGCTTTGGAGTAGTCATTCCGTTCAAGATCAGTTTTGATGATGTCTATTTCCTTTTCGAGACCTTCCTTCGTGTTACAGAGCCTGAAAGCACGGTTTAATGGCTTTGATGTATTTTCCTGGTGGGCTTGAATACTGTTTTTATTTTAATCTTCCCCAAGATTTTTCCGATTCTGACTATTACCCCAGAGATCTACGGTAGTAATGCACGTGCAACCGTTTTGGTTTCCTCCTTATCTTAACTTGTGGAAGTCTTTAGATTTCGGTTACGGGCACGTTCCTACAAGGAGCATCTTCAAGTGGCTTCAATATCGAATGGATACAGTGTAACCGAGATCAACAAGGTCATGAATTTGAAGACTTCTACAAGTTAAAATAGGGAGGAAACTCAAACGGTTGCACGTGCATTTCTACCGTTCATCCCTAGGGTAGCAGACAGAATTGGAAAAATCTTAGAGAAGCATAAAATAAAAACAGTGTTCAAGCCCATCAGGAAAATACATCAAAACCTGAGATCTACACAAGACGATCTACCCCTTTTTCCTACCCCACCCAATTGCGTCAAACTCGCACTTTGGAAGACATTGATAATATGAATTTAGACTTTTATTAAAACTAACAATGGACGAGTATGTAAAAATTTCCAACAAATCAGTGAATATGAAACTGAATAAGCGATATTTTCAATAATCAAATTTCGGCTAAAATAATGAAGGGGAGACTGAGGTTAAGCAACTACTCTGAGGAAAAAAGTCCATCAGTGAATTCAATACAAAAAAAATTGAAATAATATTCAGTGTGTGTGAAATTTACTGTGAAAAAGAAACCAATTCTATGTTATAGAATTGACCGATATCTGACAAAATTCTAGTAGTTTAGGTAAAGTGGCCAGGAATGGGAAAGAAACTGCTCACGAATATTCTTTGATTTTATAAATATAGCAACTCAATAACAATGGATTTTCATCAAGTGTCATTAACAATATTCAACTATGAAAATACAATATAACTTTACTTTGAATTATCCAGAACACATTCATAAAACAATTCACAAGTACACAAATACAATAAAGGTTCTAAGTGTATTCATATCATAACACCTATTACGAGGTCTGTTCAAAAAATAAGGTGAATGTTCAAATTTCGCTGGCTACGTACATTTAAATAGCGATTTTTTTATTTTTCCTATTGGTACACTCGTCTCGAATATATTTACACAGTTTTAGCTATTTATCGGAGTCTACATAAATTTATTTTCAATTTTCTCAATGAATCTCTAAGATCACCAACCTGTACAAAGTTCTCAGAAACAATGATTGATTTCCTTTTTGAATGATCAGAACACATTGAGTTTACATCTGAGAAACTGGACCAATTATGTTACCTAATAAAATCACTAAAAAGTAAACTAGATACCAAATATCTACTAACGGTATAACGCAAAATTTCACTTCATAGTATGTTGTAACATTGCTGTCTGGGGGTTAGCCACTGAAAATGGCAAAATATTTGTGAAACAAAAGGCTCTGTTGAGATTAATGTTTAACCTTGATTACAGAACGTCATGTAGGGAAATATTTCAAGACAATAAAATATCAGCATATTCATTTTAAGACATACATGAATATTACTGGAGTTTTTTCCAACACCAAATCGTTATTTTTAACACTTCGACACGTGTTTCGATCACCAAGTGCTCATCTTCAAAGAGGAAGATTGAAACTTGTAAAAATAACGATTTGGTGCTGGGAAAAATCTCCAGTAATATTCGTTCTTACACCAAAGGTTCCAAACAGTACATCTTAAGACATACATTCATGAGAATATAAGACATTACGATCGGAAGTACATAATTATAATACTAGGAAAAACAATATGCTCACAACTAGTGAAAATATCTATACAAAATATGAAAAGAAAGCCATGTAATGAATTCCGCCAGCTATGTAATGTAGCTGAAAAGATAAATAAATCATATCTATCTATCTAATCTTTGGCTATTCGCCATCCGACAAAGATAAAAATATGCGATTGGGTACATGAAGTCTAGCAGCATGAAGAAGTGGCCTCAGGAGAAAAAGTTTTTGAAGAGGACGGAGGCCATAATTCTGGTGATTTACAAAGTCATGTAGGACTTGTCCATCACAGTGTGTAGGAGACAAGCACCAAGAGCAGAAGCCCTCGAGGTGCACAATTAGCTGAGTTTTCAATCTGAAATTTTTGGCACCAACACGAAGTGGGAACATTCCTCTGAATTAGCAACCAATATTCACAATTTGCAGGAAGGGGTTTTCATCCATACCAATGACATCGAACTGACCTACCAGGCAAAAACTTCATCGACGGAAAGTTTGCTTCGATAAGTAGTAACAACAAAATCGATTAGATTAGCCAATAACACTGCTGCACCTAATTCACATCTGGGAATACTTAACCTTTTCAAAAGGACTACCTTTGACTTGTCACGAATTCGAAACATGTGAATAGAGTGTTCTAATCAAATATGTACCAATCAGTGAATGAATTGGACAAAATTGGCAATTGTTTTGTAAATGTGATCCATTTTTTTCCACAGTATTTTGGGTTTTGTTATGCCAACTTATACTTATACCTGTCATCCATAGCTCTTGCATAAAATACTTTACGAATTCAATAACGGATGTTGAAAAACCGAACGGATCATATATACGGGCTAACTATGATAATATGAAACAGACAAACACGAGTCTGATATGAAAACTACTCTTTACTAGACACTAATATAATCCTGAAACCTCGACTGTACTGGCAGCGCCACAGTCGAATAAATGTGGTTATTTATAGATATCTGGGAAAGATGATAATACTTGACTCGTGATTACTAGCCCACTTCCGCAATTCACATTCAGCTTCCGACAGCAAACTCATCAACTCAAATTGTACGGACTCAGCTTCAGCGATTGAATTAGCTCCAGAAACAACATCATCCACATGAACGTTAGAGCGTATGGCCTCTGCCGCTAGATTGTGTAGCAATTAAATTTTCGCTACTTTACTTTGTTAATTTTAGAAGTTTTTCTGTAGAGACCTATGGTGGTATAGTTGCTTGCCTACCATCAATTCGGACAATTCTCTTAGATCAGATGTCCAACTTTCGGGGCGACCCGAGTTCGTTCGTTTGTTTTCGTGTTGGCGTGGTCCTAGATGGCTAACGATGCCAAGAGGCAGTGTAGACACCTCGGTTTCTGACCGAATGTAGCTGAACGCGTTGGGATTTTTACCCATTCAGTCTGGGTGAGTGGCGTGGAACGTGTCAACAATGGCAGTTTGCACCATCTTCACGAGTAGGGAGATGGGAAGGGGAAGAATTCTCTGACTGGAAGTTAGTCACTCCGAGTCACTCAGTCGGTGAGGAGGTGAGTTGATTGATGGTGGAGAGCAGCGGTCGTTACGGAAGAAGGGCAGAATTTGTCTGGTTTTGGCTTCCTTCTTCCAAAGTTTTATTTAGACCCACAAGACTCCATCGGACGATCACCCTGACGCCCTTCCCGAACAGGGTTACGCCGTTGAGATCAAGTCCATAGCCTCCCCNATCATTTTATAAATTAAATTTTGATGATAAGACCTTACAGACAACAAACAAAATTTTTAGTTTATATAATGGCGATAAGATTGAACCTTTGGGATTTATTAATTATAAAATTGAATATAAGGGAAAACTGGGCAACTTGAATTTTTATGTTATTGAAAATGACGGACCTCCTTTACTGGGACGTGATTTTTTAAATTCGTTCGATCTGACAATTTTTAATATGGAGAATCCATCAAGATCACCTTTAGATTTAAGTTATTTGGGTGATAAATATAAGGACTTGTTTGCTCCAGGCATAGGTAGATTTAACGAGGGGACAATATCAATTAGACTGAAATTAGGTATGGAATTGAGTCCGAAATTTTTCAAAGGAGTTAGATCGACTTGAAAATTCACAAGTTATAGAGCCAGTTGATTTCTCTGAATGAGGTACACCTATTGTGCCCGTACGGTTCAGTACGCATTTGCGGGGACTTTAAAGTTACGATAAATCCTTTCATAGAAATCGACCCTTATCCATTACCAAAAATTGAAAATTTGTTCAGTACACTAGCTGGTGGTGTCCACTTTACTAAACTAGACATGTCCAATGCTTATCAGCAGATTTGTTTAGATGAGATTTCGAAAAAGTATGTTTCAATTTCGAAACACAACGGCTTGTATCGATATAATCGTGCTCCATTTGGTATTTCAAGTATGCCATCCAAATTCCAAAAAATTTTAGATTTCCTATTAGTAGATTTGGATGGAGTGGTCTTTTTTTGGACGACATTTTTATCAGGGGAAAAACCAGAAAAGCACATCTTTTTCGTTTAGAAACAGTGCTTTCACGTTTACAAAAGGCGGGACTTAAATTATCTTTCAACAAATGTAGTTTTTTTGAATGCTTGCTTGCTTGCTTGCTTCTAATTGTAAAATTTCCGCTATTATTGATGCACCAATTCCATTCGATGTAATTTAATTACAATCTTTTTTAGGTTTATTGAACTACTATAGCAAATTTATAAAAAAAACTATCCATTTTGTTACAACCTCTTTACAATTTACTGAAGAAAAATACGGTATGGAAATGGACAAATTGTTGTCAAAAAGCGTTTGAGGAAGTAAAAGGAAAATTAATTTCTCCTCCTGTTTTAGTTCATTTTAACCCAGAACTACCTATAAAGTTAGTTATTGATGCTTGTGATTACGGAATCGGAGCGTTAATATCTCATACATTGCCTAATGGCATAGAAAGGGTCATAGTTTATGCTTCGCGTACTCTTTTAGAAAGAGAGAAAACATTTTGTATTTTAGAGAAAGAAGTTCTAGCAGTTATTTTTGATTTGAACAAATTTCATTATCACATTGGTAACCGATAATAAACCTTTATCCTATATATTCAATCCTAACAAAATAATCCCTGAATATGCTGCAAATAGATTGCGAAGATGGGCAATTATTTTGTCGAGTTATCAATACGACATAGAAGTTGTGAAATCAGAAGATAACCCAGCAGATTCTTTGTCTAGACTTCCGCAATCAATTGAGGACAATTCAGAGGAAAATGTTGATTTTAATTTTGTTGAATATTTAGCGAATGCTGAACACTTTTCAGTAAATTTTGNAACACTCAGTATTCAGAATTCCATCTTTTGATATTTCAAGTTCATAGACATCGAAATTGATCCGATCACAGGATATGGAATATAAAACAATCTCCAAATATGCAAACTTGGCACAGATTGCATGCTGTGCATTTTACCTCAGTACAGTGACCGGATCAAAGTCGCAATGTCAGCGTATAACTCTTTATAAATATTGAGGGAGGTCAAGATCATTAACAATTAACAGTTAACAGTCAACAGACAGTATTCATTTACGTATCGATTGGGTCATCAGAAATGCAGCACATCTCCTTCTTTTCAATTTGAGTGTGAGTTTATTAAAAGTATTTATCCGTTTCTTTCACAATAAATATTTTATCAAGTTTTAAATGAGTTCTTTCATTATTTGGGATGAATAAATGAATGGGTGAAACAGCGAATAAAATCCTCTCGTTAACAGCCAAGCGAGAACTGAGTTGCGACAATATATCAAGATCCACTTTAGTCGACTTAGGTTACAAAAATGGTGTGCACCTCTTAGAATGCATTAGCAGCTGATGTTTTCGGCAATGACATATGATTCAGATTCAAATAGTCTTGCATGAAATCCATGTACAACGTATATATTTCGAATTCTTGCGTAATCGCTGTTCTGAACATAAAAACATACGAAATGCAACATTATAAAAACGCAAGGATAGTGAAACATTGAATCTACCAATTAGATTTCGGAATTGTTCTTTAGCAAATATTTCTTCACCTATCTTGTTTTCAACTAATAGCGAATACAGCGGAGAAATTGTCTCCAGCTCCCAAAATCACTTGAGTGCCACCTCTAAAGGAAAATCGGGAGAACTCAACAATACCGTTCATTGTATATGTTTTAATAGGTATTCTCATCAAGTATCGGCCAGTTCTATTCAAAATCGGGAGAAGTGATAAACGGATTGGGGGTAACTCTTTTGGTAACACCTGTATTGCCCAATAATACCCAGCCAAAAATCTGAATGCAACGGATGAACCTCGTTTAACTCATCACACACCACTCAGTAGATCATGAGCATATATGTAAGCACCTAGAAGTAACTCTCGTTTGGTATACCAAAATCGCGGTCTGCCAGACGGAGACCTTCTGAGTGTTTCCGAGGTTGAACTGTAATTAAACTTGATAGAATGTCTCCACAAGTCTTTGAAATTACAATGACCCCAATCGTATAATGAGAATGGAGTCAATATGAAGGAGCCAACAGAAATTTTGATCTCCCCAAAGTAGATTACCCTAGCACCACATGTTATTTGTAATATCGTTTGTAGTTTCAGTTCATCAGAAGTTATTTTTCGATGCATTTATTATAATTGTGAAACTACGAATCCGAAACTTCTAGAAGTACATACTATGCTAGATTTGAATGTAAGTGAAATTTTATATCAATACCCTTTCACATATTACGTTGTGTAGTATCACTATGAACGATATCTTGTTCATCGAGAAGGCTTTCTCTCCTAGTTTGTATCTAAAAGGAACTACTGTGCATGATCTACACATCTTTAGAGTTCATTTGGAACTTGAGTCTTTTCTTTTCCCTCATAACTCTCCATTTTTTGTATAAATATGAAGTGGAAAACCGAAAAGCTTTTTTCTCAAAGACCGATCTTTCCTAAAAGATATTCCCCTCTCAATTCATATAAATAAATCATTATTATTAGTTAATATGAAACTTAGTAGGACCATCTCCAGGTGCATGACTTCTAAATGGATCAATGAATTGTCTACATAATTTACAATTCATTAGTAAAATCCCTAAGAAACGTAAATTCTCAATTACTACTAATATAAAGTTTTTTTAGATTTTGTTCACGTACCATCGAGAAAATTGAATTCGAAAATTTCTGAATTTCAAATTCTAAACTATGCTAATGTACCAAATATCTGTCAAATCTGACTTTTCTCATCGATAGATAAGTAGCAAAATACCCAAAAGTAAAGAAGTGAGGATTTTTTGACATTCCAGAAAAAGTATACATTTGAATTTCATTATTTGCTGTATTTCTGTTGAGTATAATTCTTTCTTTAACTTTTTTTCTGACTCATGAAAATTTCTGATTCATTATTGTTTATAATCCGTTTTATTTTCAAATAACTGAATTGCAAACAAGAAAACACAATATCCGAAGATCGTCGATGCTCCTTGGGTGACTCTGAGAGTTGTTAGCATTGCCTGCCCTGAATACAGGGATGGCCATAGCAGTTTAGTAGTTAATGACGTTGATACCGGGAAAAAATCAATGATTTCTATTCTCTGTTCAGAAAATACATAGTTTGATTCGTTTTTATTGTTCATTCCATTTTATAGATCAGTTGTTTCACCTCCTATAATCAAATTTTCTCATTTCTCAAACTGGATGTTCATTCAATAATAGATATGGAAATGATTACAAGTCTTCAGTACCACCCCCATTTTCTGTTTCAGGTACCCCCTCACCTTACTGGAGAGAGTTTACCTTATAATATACCGATAAATTGGACGATGACCATAGAAGACCCCAAAGAGAAGAATCCTTTTCTAATAGGACCATTCCATGATGATGTGAAGGATGGAAACATAAACAAAGTGCCCATTCTAATTGGAATCACCGATGAAGAATTGATAGGTTAGGAAAAACCTCGGGAACTACCATTTCATAATTGAGCCATGTTTCCATAATTTGAGGCGACATTTAATGAAAATCCATATCAATACCAAGTGATTCAGTTCACTGTGCAATTTTCACTGGGAAAGGTTTAAAATACAGCGGCACTTATTGCGATACGATAGTTTTCTTAACTGAAAATTATGAATCACTCGTTTTTGTTGTCTAGAAACATAAGCTACAACTTACAGTCCGATCACATAATTGATTCAACTACCTGAAAAGGCCTGATATAATCCTCAATTCATTGGTAAAAATCGTTAAGTGAATTTCGATAATTTCTCATTATATCAATAAGCGGGTAAGAAGCATACGTTTAATTCATGTTTATAATAGCTGCTAGTTATTCATGTCACTTTGATCGTTCAGTGAATGTTGGTGATTTTTCATTATGATTTTCATACTTTCCAGCATGTTAAGAGGGTGATGAAGTGGAAAAAACATACGTTTCATTCATGTTAATGAAAACTGTTTATACAGTGTGACCCATTTAAGATGGAAGCACCCTTATAAAACTTACATTTTTCAACCGATTGGAATGTTTTTTTTTGTTAGGTAGATATTCAAAAAGTCTATTAGGACACCAAATATCATGAATAAATCTCAATTTCCAGGGCCAACTAATCTTATTTTTAAAGGTCAAAAATCTAAAAAAATTACTAGCGATTTTTTTAGAAAAACTCTGACTACACCACTGGATTTGTGACATTTTCAAATGGGTAACATGTAAATTACGTTGAAATGCGTCAATCAATAAAAAAGTTATAAAGGAATGAAATTTGAAAAATATGCCGTTTAATCAACCCACCAATTCATGTTCAGGAATTTTATGAAAATTCTGTATACTCCACTGGATTCAGGATGTCTTGAAATATTACTGATCACAGTTTCATCGAAATCTGTTCGGTAATAAAAAAGTTATAAAGGAATAAAATTTGAAAAATATGTTGTTCAATGGAATTTTAGCAACGTTCTTACTACANATATTTCAAGACATCCTGAATCCAGTGGTGTATACAGAATTTTCATAAAATTCCTGAACATGAATTGGTGGGTTGATTAAACGGCATATTTTTCAAATTTCATTCCTTTATAACTTTTTTATTGATTGACGCATTTCAACGTAATTTACATGTTACCCATTTGAAAATGTCACAAATCCAGTGGTGTAGTCAGAGTTTTTCTAAAAAAATCGCTAGTAATTTTTTTAGATTTTTGACCTTGAAAAATAAGATTAGTTGGCCCTGGAAATTGAGATTTATTCATGATATTTGGTGTCCTAATAGACTTTTTGAATATCTACCTAACAAAAAAAAACATTCCAATCGGTTGAAAAATGTAAGTTTTATAAGGGTGCTTCCATCTTAAATGGGTCACACTGTATGTGCTTTCATACGTGTTTTGAATGTTCTTTCAGTTTGACATACGTAAACGTCGGACTAGATCTGCACGGCAATTTATAAAATCGTATCTGACACCAAAGTCAAGATTATAACTGTTTTTAAATGCCATTTATGACATCTTCATTTGTTTTGAATTAAAAATTTTCATAATAAATTGGCACAAATTAATTACCGTTTTGTAATTGCAGCAGATTGCTATCATAACGTGTGTGGATGGCAGTTTTATTGAATTCAATGCTTCACTGAAATTCACACCAGACATAGGAACATTCACTAGTCTGTAAATTATTCTGTTGAATACTGCTACTTGTGTTAAAATGGATGGATGAAACAATCATTTTTCAATTTTTTGTCAGCCTGCATTGGCGGATATTAACATTATTTCACCCATTGCATGTTATACATGCAAGCTAACAAAAATTCGTATAGAAGAAAGAATTGTTCGGAACACCATTATGAATGAAATAAGAAAAGTCCTTATCGATCCAACTTCTGCAAAAAACAGTCATAGTTCACAAATATAGATTTTTTGCGTTTTTCAAAAAAAAAATAGTAAGATTCATCATAAAAATATTGCAGAAAAATTGTTCCCACGATTTTTTTCTAGAGTAATCGTTTCTGAGATATGACGAATCGGAAAAATTTAAAATTTGATTCAATGGTGTTTCGAATATTCGTAAGAAAATTTAATTTATATGTGAATTATTGTAGCATTGTAGCTAACCCAATTTTTTGAGCAAACTTAGCCGGGCTACTAAAGCAACACAAAGTAACAGTATTCAAGGGCCTAACCCAGGGACTAGTGAATGATTCCTTATCTGATTTGAATTTTGATGAAGAATTGAATTCAATGAAACAGATTGCTTTTTTATTGATCATAGCAATCGGATAGATACTTTACTGTCCTGAAAACTATACAAATCCCACACAAAGATATGGGAAGCTTCAACATCAACAGACGACCTTCTATCATATGTCATCCATATTTGGAATAATGCAATCGAGAAAGATGAAGAGTCAAGTGCTGTTGCGCTTGATTTGATTTGATCCCACTAAGAGCGGTACATATCAGAAATACGCGACGGACTGTGGCTGTTCATCGTTTCGAGGTTCAACTCTGTACACCTCGAACTTCACTGTTTAAAAACTTGTTCATTTGAAGAACTCAGTTCATGTGGAATAAACGTTTTTCTAAATGCATTTAATCTCCAGCGATTCAAATCCAATGTGAATCGCCACTTTTGCACAGGCACCGCTCTTAGAGCGCCTTGAGGATTTCCCTGTAGTGCTTATATTTTGTCCTTGGAAAAATAAAGGGTGTTTGCCCGATGAGACAAGGAACAAAATCACAGCACATTCACTCATTTGGGTCAATTCAGAATGAACATTTCTGTTATATCGGATTAAAAAAAGTCCCAAAATCGTATTAGTTACACCATTCTTATAACTCAAGAACGGTTGAACCGATTTTCAGCATCATTCATCACAATTCAGGTTTTTTTTATATCTCTTCAATTGAAGTTGAAAATGTGTTTTCTTGTCATTTTCTATTTTTTCCGTCTCTGGTTACATTTTTTGTACAGTTCGTACGCAAACCCCTGTAGCCTCAGTTACTCGTTCTCGTACAAAGTTAAAATATAATATTGGTTACAATTCTACTTATTATCAATGATAGATACTTCTCACCTCCACAAGAAGAATTATTATGCCATCTGTTGTTGCTTTCGCATTGCCTAAATCTTGTTCTGTTGTTCACAATTTCTCTGAGAACCTTGTTTTTCAGTTTACTGATCGGAGACATTTTCAAAAATAACATGCAACTACACGAGTTCCTCGATGTTAAAGAACTCTCGCCTCATTTCGCCGGTTGATTCACTGTGCATCTAATATCCAGAGGCTTACCTAGATTTGTCGAACTGTAATTATACCAATTCTCAAATGGATGGTATATTCATTTGTTGTGACTCAAATAAAAAGCTACCTGCTTTTCTCCAAGTCACTCATCAGAATGTCAAGACATGGAAAATCTTCACAGAAAATCATTTTATTGTGACAATTGAGTACAATATGGGAAGATATAATGTTTCAAGACACTAATCAACAAAAATAATGTAAAAAAATGCATATTTCAATGTATTGCTTTAATACTTTTGCTATTCAAAACTATTCATATCGAAATTTGTAGAATAGTTCCTTGAATAACTATTTGGAGAAGCTTATTGAATGTCGTTGAAGTAATTGTTATTCTCAAAGCCCCATTAAATGCCTATTTTTGTTTCCATTTTTTTTCATTCGAAATCAATATTTTGAATTATTTTCATCGACATCATTTCAACTGCTTTCGTTTTTCAGGTGTTGACCTAACACATGAAATGGCAGCCTATGTCGATAATAACATTACTTGTATCGTTAACACTAGAGCAAATATAAAAGAAGAAAATAAACTTGCATTCGCTACTGAGCTCAGAGATATATACACAAAGGTTCCCTTTCAGCAGAATATGACGGCGTTTTATAGGGTAAGTTAGATTATTTGGCAATATTACTCTCCACATTTACTTCTGCAGATTTTATAGCGAGAAAGGATTTGTTTATCCGAAGTATTTTAATATGTAAGTTGAAAAAAAACTTTTTTATTGATAAAACAACGATAAAAATAAAATAAAAACAACAATAAAAATTAATTGGCGCTCCGGGG